TATCTTTTCTGCGGATAGATGGATTGAGAAATGCGATATTTGATCTTGGTTTTCAAGATCTATGAACAAGAGAGATCCCTAAATATCCATTTGAAAAAAGAGATGATAAATAGATAGGACGGAAAGCCAGCTGAAGGAAGGTCGTTGTTTAGCTCCCCTGCAATCTTTTCTAAAGTAAGAAGCGAGAAACTGACTTTGAGAAAGAAGGGCCTTATATTATAATATTAAGTAAAGCGCGTTAGCTAATCTATAGAAAGGCGCTTCTTCAATATCCATAAAAAAAAAAACAGGGGCTCTCAAAGCTTGTAGTTTAGGGGTGCGCTAGGTTTGAACCCTATACAAGGGTGTTAAAAATAATGGCTTTCTCTGAGAGGGGTTACCTTCTTCAAGCTCCGCTTGCTTGCTTTTCCATTTTGATAGGAGTGCTTGCTGCTCACTTTGCTGTCGTCTACTAAACGAGCCTTCACTGCCCGCCTGGACCCTCTCTTTAATCTTAAGTAAAGTGAAGTCAAATCAATGAAGTGAACAGCCCAACCTCTTTATTTAAAGCTTTTCCAGAATTATACTTGTTGAAGCTTTGCTTCCCCTAATTCCAATGCACAACAATAGACTTGCAACTATAGTATAGGAAAAAGCTTCTCTTTGATAGCGGTCATAAGGGGGTTCAAAAAGGATCTGATCGTAGATAGAGACTTTTTCCGGGGGTAGGGGCGGATGTAGCCAAGTGGATCAAGGCAGTGGATTATGAATCCACCACGCGCAGGTTCAATCCCCGTCATTCGCCCATCAATAAATGGACCATTTGTTACGGAGACACAAGATGACAAACCCGGAAAGAATTTTTTTTGCAATTCATCTCTTGGCTTTCAAAGGCATCCAAGCAATTGGTATCCGATTAAAACGCTGATGGCGAGATCGATTTTTTGGTCGAGGTTCAAGAGAAAAGAAAGGAACCACCACCCAATGGTGCTTTTACGAGAGTACGGTCACCGGTGGCTAATACCTTCTCGACACTATCGAACCCAAAATCCACTCTCAATCGCTCTTTTTATTCAAGCATCTTTTCTTTTGCTTTTTAAGTCCTAAGACATCTAAAGATGCCTCATTTTCTGCCGTTTTTTTCCCCCTTGCCAGGCTTCCCAAACATAACACCCCAGTGTCGGGATAACAAACTCACTATTTGAATCAGCTGAAAAGGCAAAGGAAGTTAAAGATTAAGGCTAGTCCTTGTTCAAACAAATAAGCAACTAAGTAAGTACCAAATTCCCTTATTATTACGAAAAGGGCAGACTCAACAGAAAGGGAAAGGGCAAACTTAGTTAAAGAATGGAAATCGTGAGACAGTTCGGTTCTCTAGACCCACCTGTAACCCTGGAGAAGGGGCGCTTTTCAACTGGAAAAGTGCTAGGGCAAAATATCTCACTGAAAGGTTGGAGGGGTGCCTAATGCGGTTCCACTCTACCCTGACAGTAGAGTAGAGTAGGAAACCCCCCTCACGATCTACTAAAAGGGAAAGTAGCTTGATATTGGTTCGAATCCAATTCGTGAGCATATGGGTAATGAAGCAAGGACATGAGCACTAACGCCCAGAGATTTTCCAACTGACTAAAGACAGAATCCCGAGCGAGCCGAGCTGTCAGACTATACAGTTCTCTATTGATTGAAACGATGTACCTATGGGATAGGGATAGCGAAAGAGGAAAAAATCGAAGATTTCACATAGTACTTTTGATCAAAAAATCAAGAAGATTTATTTCGTACCCTTCGCTCAATCAAACAAATAAAGAAGGAGACGAGACCCTTTTGGTAAAGAAGCTCAAGGAGTGAGCAGCTTTGGGACAAGAGAAGTTCATATCTTGCTTGTAATAAAGCAGCAAGGAAGGAGGCCCTTAGAGTGAGCAGCTTTGGGACAAGAGAAGTTCATATCTTGCTTGTAATAAAGCAGCAAGGAAGGAGGCCCTTAAGAGGGGAGTTGTCCCCGCATGAAGGTCCTAGCTACGCCATGCGTTCAATACAAAATCTGGAAAGCTGCAAGGATGACAAAAAGAAGGCGCTTTCCAGTGTTGCACTGAAAAAAGAAGGAAGGACCTAAGAGAAAACACTCTTCTCTTAGGTTTCTTCCTCCCGCGCCCGCCACCGCCCGGCCTGCGTTAGAGGGGAAAATTAGCAAAGCGAGAAAAGACAGAGGGAGGGAGAGCAGCATCTTATTCTTTTCACGAGAACTTCCAAATCAGAAAAGCATTCGGAACGGGCTCCGCGTTCATTTCGTTGGCAGAAATGTCCCCGAGAGGGCCACTAGACTAGTAAGTAAGACTCTATCTTATCTTCTATTACTATACTATATTAATCGTCATGGTGTGATGACGATGACTCTACCGTGCGGCGTTTTCGTTTAGGAAGAAGAGGTTATATGATACTTCTTCCGTTTGAACTAGAATAAGACTATGGAAAGGAGCGATTTAGTTACTTTATTTCAACCGGTGGTATTAATTTTAATTAGGTGAGAGGATACACACAGAACTGTTTAATTGTGGAACAAGCTACGCACCTTTGAGTTCTCGGGGTGAGGTGCGAAGCTAGTTTCTTAGTAAGTAGCTAAAAAGAGGGCAATCAAGCAATCGTAGGTCAACTTAAAAGTTAATTATATCCCATATCCAAATTAAATTTAGAATTTTAATAAAAGATTATTTTATATAAGCTCCAAATTCATAAAAATAAGATAAATACTATTATATATAATATATATATATAGTATATATATATATATTAAAGAAGCAAGTTCACTAACATATCACAATTTCAAAATGTTGAGTTAATTAAAATTATCATTATATATATATGGAAGGTAATGTTTTAATTATTAATAAAATTATTAATATAATTCCATATATATATAAAGAAGCAAGTTCACTAACATATCACAATTTCAAAATGTTGAAGTTAATAAAATTATCATATATATATATGGAAGGTAATTGTTTTAATTATTAATAAAATTATTAATATAATTCCATAACATTAATCATTTTACTAAATAAAGAAGTTACAAACTACAATAATGGGGTTAAATAATGGAATTAAAATATAATTTAAATTTGTTAAATTTTATGGTGGTGTTATTTCTAGAGCAACAAATGTTAATGATAAAGCAAAATTTATTACTCCCTCCGTTCTTTTTATGTAGGAACAACTAATTTTTCTTCAAGATTAAGAAAATAGTTTAATCAACTTTTGTCATTTTTTTTATAATTTACCTCTAATATCTCATTTATGCCTCCTCTAATATCAATGTATGTCTTAAATTATGTTCTGATTGTCAATGAGGATTTAAATATTTTGTTAGAATGATAGAAATACAAACAGTTGCAAAAATAAAATTTATACTCTGACCTTTGCAGAGAAATTCGTTTTTTGTCCTCTATTTGAAAAAGTTGCATGGAAATATGAAAATTTATACTCATTTAACCTTCCAACTGCGTTTGGTTATTGAAAATGTATTTTAAATATTGCAAAATTTTTTAAATATTCGGTGAAGTCCGTAAAAATTCTTTTAAATGTGGTCAACTTGAAAATTTTGTCGTCATTTTCTATTCAAATTCCATTTAATTAGTGCTCACATAACCTATACAAGCACATTTTTTTTTCAATGGAAATTGATATAAACAAATCCATTCTTCAAAATTTATTCACATTAAATGCTCATTTATACCTTTATCTCCCACCATCTTGAGAATCTTCCAAAAGTTTCACAAATGACTAAAATAAAGATAAGATAGACTTTTCACATTAGTATGGTTTCTAAAATTACCAAATTAAGTGAAATTTTCTATATAAAAGGAACGCTAAAAATAGAAATTTTTCTTGTATAAAAAGAAGGGAGGGAGTACTTAATGATATTTTTAATCAACTAATAAAATTAAGAGTACATAGGGACATTTCAAGAATGCAATGTTCCCTCCTTCGTATTTTTACATATACTGCAGATTGATATGGTATATTTTAATATTTACGTGAATTTTTGTGTATTCATATAATGAAATCAAACCTAAAAATAAAATTAGTAATAAAAATAATTCAATGACAACAAAAAAATACCTTATTATCTCTTCTCTCTAATATAAAGTGTTTATTCTATTTAATAGTAAATATATATATATATATTAAAAAACTAGGTTGAAAGTTATATAGGTTAAGAAATAAAGTGCGGACAAATCTATTAGGAAAAAAAAAATTAAAATTAATATAAATTAATGTTGCAATGTTTGTGGATCAAACTTTCATAAACTAGGTGGAAAGTCATTTCGCTGAGCTACCAACGATCTTCTATTAAGATTAGTACAAGAATCATTTCGTTGAACTACAAAGATCCTCCAATTATTGAGATAGGTAATATATACTAAAACAATTAATTTTTTTAAATAAAATTTTTAATTTATGTTTATAAATTAATCCAGTGTATAGGTAGACTTTTACATATATGGTATATATTCAAATCTTATCCATAAATATTGAAAGTTACATGTCAATGTACTACATGCATGGTAGGATGATTTTTTACTATAAAAGGTAATATTAGTAAAATAATTTACTAAAACAACAATTTTACCAAAAAGAGTTTTTAAACAATGTATGTAGATTAATATAGTGCATAGGTGGAGTTAATACATATATGGTATTTACTTAACTCTTATTAATAAACATTTTAGGTTACATGTCAGAATACCACATGTAGAATAAAAGTATATGGAATCACTCATGCACCAAACTATAAAGGGTATTTTTAATTAAGTAAATTATTAGAAATACCATTGTTATTATTAAAAACTCTTGTAATAAAAACTTATTTTTGATCAGTTTAGTGTATAATAAATCCATACACCGGACGGTGGGTTAGTCCTTCCCACATTAAACAAATATAGAACAGAAATTTTAACGTTATTATGTTACTAGAAGTAATAGTCTTATAGACTGTTAACGCTCTTGTCTTTGGCTATAAATACCGGAAAATACTTACTAACACTCACATCTGCACTACTTAATTTCCTCCATTAAGAGTTAATGGGGAAACACGGACCAACACAATCTCACTTTCATCTCTTACTAATGCTACTATTCTCTTTCTTCTTCGCATACCTAATTCCATTATCACATGGACAAGACCCCATTGGCTATGGCTACAAAATTGAATCTGTCATCGACAGTTTATCAGAAGATGGATCACTGAAAGCTAACCTTAGCCTCATCAACGCCTCCACTGTTTTTGGTCCTGATATTCAGAGTTTAAGCCTTTCCGTCAGGTAAGCCTCTTAATCTTCTTTTTCTTTTCCTTTCTTTTGATTGCAAACTTTCTGGGAAAATCCAAGATAATTCAAGCCATGTTACACTACTCTGCTTATTAATGCAGCTTTGAAACGAAGGAGCGAATCAGAATCCGACTAACAGATTCACAAACGCAAAGATGGGAGATTCCACAAGAAATCATTCCTCGACCAAGACAAAACCTCTCCAGCCTAGACTCCGATCTTGTTTTTACGCTTCAAAACACCACGCCATTCGGCTTTTCCGTGTCACGCAAATCCAATGGCGACGTTCTTTTTAACGCCACGCCGGACACGTCGAATTCCAGCAGTTTCTTGGTTTTCAAGGACCAATATATTCAGTTCTCCTCTTCACTTCTGGCGAATAGGTCTTCAATCTATGGTTTCGGAGAGCATACGAAAACTTCCTTCAAGTTGAGGCCAAGTGATTCGTTCACTTTATGGAATGCTGACATTGGAAGCTCGAATCAAAATATCAATCTTTATGGTTCTCATCCATTTTACATTGACGTCCGATCACAGTCCGGTGATGGTAAGGTAGCGGCAGGGAGTAGCCATGGAGTTTTACTGTTGAATAGTAATGGAATGGATATAATATACGGTGGTGATAGGGTAATTTATAAGGTTATTGGTGGTGTAATTGATTTATACATTTTTGCTGGACCATCTCCTGATTCAGTGATACAGCAGTACACAGAGCTTATTGGCAGGCCTGCACCCATGCCTTATTGGTCATTTGGTAAGCTTTTTCCGTATTTCCTTATTTTTTGAGTCACCTAGTTTCAATCTATCATCTAATCATGGACTAAACTAATGGTTTATGGGAAATGGTCGTATTTCGCACCGTTCTGAAAAAAAAATAAATAATAATAAAGTGAGAACAATTTTTAAAAAATCTCTATTGCGGATTGGTTTGCTTCACGGATGGACCTGTAGATGGAGTCTTATTTAACAGGCTCATCTATTGTAATGTATAAACAGGATTTCATCAATGTCGATATGGTTACAAGGATGTTGCCGATCTTGAAGGAGTGGTTGCTGGCTATGCAAACGCTGGAATACCTCTTGAAGTTATGTGGACAGATATTGATTATATGGACCGATATAAACTTTTCACTCTTGATCCGGTCAACTTCCCTGCTGATAAATTGAAACCTTTCGTTGACAAGCTTCACCAGAATGGCCAAAAGTATATAGTCATTGTCGATCCTGGTAATTTCTCAAGTAAACATATAGACCCTAAGAAATTATATATATTCCTTTACATTTATTGTTACGGTTCTTTGTTCACAGGAATTGCTGTAAATGACAGCTACGGAACCTATCAGAGGGGGATGGAAGCTGATATCTTTATTAAACGTGATGGTTCTCCTTACTTGGGACAAGTGTGGCCTGGAAATGTCTATTTTCCTGATTTTCTGAAACCAAACACCCAATCCTTTTGGACGAATGAAATCAAACAATTTAGAGATGTCATTCCAGTTGATGGTCTTTGGCTTGACATGAATGAGATAGCCAATTTTATAAGCTCATCAGCAACCCCAAATTCCACCCTTGATAATCCTCCCTACAAAATTAACAATGCCGGAAACCAGCGGGCGATTAATGATAGGACAGTACCAGCAACAAGTTTACATTTTGGTAACATTACAGAATATGATGTTCATAACATGTTTGGATTGCTAGAAGCTAGAGCAACTCATGAGTCCTTAATAAATGTGACTGGCAAGAGGCCTTTTATACTTTCTAGGTCTACTTTTGTAAGTTCTGGCAAATATACAGCTCATTGGACTGGTGACACTGCCTCCAGATGGGACGATTTGGCTAATTCGATTCCTACCATTTTGAGCTTTGGACTATTCGGGATACCGATGATTGGTGCTGATATTTGTGGGTTTCAAGGAAATGCCGATGAAGAACTCTGTCAACGTTGGATTCAGGTAAAATATATACATACACCTTAATTTGTCACCTTAACTTAATTTTGCATTTGATGATTGATATCTAAACAATGTCTAAACACAGCTTGGAGCATTTTATCCATTTTCACGAGATCACTCGGACAAGAACTCTAATCGTAAAGAACTATATCTTTGGGATTCAGTAGCTGCATCAGCTAGGGAGGTTTTAGGGCTTCGGTATCGGCTACTTCCATACTTGTACACATTAATGTATGAAGCACACACCAACGGGACGCCTATAGCAAGGCCATTATTTTTCTCATTTCCTGAGGATAGCAAAACTTATGACATCAACTCACAATTTCTAATTGGCAAAAGTGTATTGGTCTCACCTGTGGTAACATCCGGAACAACTTCAATTCAAGCATATTTTCCTCGAGGAAATTGGTTTAGCCTATTTAATTACTCGAATTCAGTCAATGCAACAGGAAATAATGTTACATTAGATACACCATTAAATAACACCAATGTGCATGTAAGAGAAGGTACCATTTTGGCTTTGCAAGAGGAAGCAAATACAACAACGGAGGCTCGAAAGACGCCATTCGAGCTCTTGGTGGTTGTGACTAACAATGGAAACAGTACCGGAAAACTATTTCTGGACGACGGGGAGGAACTGGAGATGGGAGGATCAGGAGGGAATTGGAGTTTTATTAGATTTTCCAGTGGAAAGCAAGGGAATGATACTGTCTCTGTTAGATCAGAAATTGAGAATGGAGAATTTGCTTTGAGTCAAAACTGGATTGTTGATAAGGTAAGTTTCATAGGGTTGGAAAAGGCTTTTGGAGTTAAAGCACAGCTGCGAATCATAAACGGGACTTCAAAGGGTAACCCTGTTGTAAATGGCACAGATGACAATCCAAATTTTGTCAGGATTGAAGTTTCAGGATTATCACTTCTTCTTGGAGAAGAGTTTCAGTTGGAATTGGTGAAAACTAGTTAAGGAAAAGTATTATAGTCACAAAACAAAGAATTGATGTAATAAACTTCAAGCCTTCATTTTGCTAGAACTTCTTTAATGGTGACCTTCAAAATATTGGAGGCTTATAACTGGTTTGAAGGACTAAAATTGATAGTGTTTATATGCATACCATACATAAAGTCTACCATCATCACTTGATAAGTTTGTTATTTTTTGCTTTATTTCAGATCATACGTGTTAATGGTAAACCGCAAATTCTATGGTTTAAAGTGGAATCACGAAGTTTTTTGAAATCTAATATAATATAACAATAATAACCTTCGATTTCTATTTAAAGTTTTAATATTGCTTTTCCTTAACAATTTATATATATATATATATATGTATATCCTAAATCTTCATCCAAATCAAATCAATAGATTAAACCGCTTTTAAAAATTAATATTTAGTTTTAAAACATAATTTAAACTTTTAAAAATGAGAATGATGTCAAGAAGTGACCAAAAAATATCATCTGTGTAGACTAAAACAGAAAGATGGGTGTTGCAATCATGAAAAACAAAGAGAGAAGTGTCAACCTGCAAATATTTAAATCTAAGACCAAGTTAAAAAGATGTGAGACGAAAGATACCATGCCCGAGGTGCTTGCTTGATACATACAATGATTGGTTGTATATAAATGTTGCTTCGTTGGTACGTTAGGCGAGATATTTGTGGATTTGAAAATGAGATAATGTTAATTTTGGTGATTGAATTTGTATTTTTTTTTTCTATTTTGGTGTGTGAATGGAAAATTGTGACAATTGAGTGTTCAAAATTTATATTTTTCTTTTTAATTTGGTGTATGATATGAATAATCAAAATGTTCAATGGGACTAAATGGGATCCACAAATGCATATGTATTTACTTACGTGGACTGATAATTTTTCCATATAGACTGACAACATAAAAAATTAATTAAAAAACCCATTTATCCCAATTTATTACTACCCAAAATACCTTTTGTCCAAAACTCTAACTTAAATCAGGATTTAAAGATCTAAGCCTCCTTTCTTCCTTTTTCCCGCTCTTACTCTGTTCTTCTCAAAAAGCACTAGTATGTTTTAAAATAAAAGTAATAGCATGTACTATAACTTTTTGATTCTCAAACGCAGGCATTTGGAGCAGATAGAAAAGAAGTAAGAGTTGTGCTTCTATAAACAAACATATGCGGAAAAGTATCCAAAAAAAAAAAAAAAAAAAAAAAAAAAAAAAAAAAAAAAAAAAAAAAAAAAAAAAAAAAAAAAAAAAAAAAAAAAAAAAAAAAAAAAAAAAAAAAAAAAAAAAAAATTTACCCAGCAAAAGTTATCGAAAAGTGGTAACAATTAAAAGTTAGCGAAGATGTGTATCTTTTCCCGGCAATCATTTTGTTGCTAACATATTTTTGTATGGAATACTGATTCTTTCAAAGTTGTGGGGTTAGAATTGTTTCTTTTTGTTTGTGTTTGGTACTTCAGGAATTTTCTTTTTTTTTTTCTTTTTAATTCTATGCCCATTTTTCATCGGTTTATGATAAAAACAAGTATTTGTTGTTCTTACTTAGGCAATAAGACTTGTCTTGCTCTTAGTCTAATTAACAATTATTAAGTTAGAAATGTGAATCACTTGCTGTGTTAATTTAAACACGCTCAATCATGATTTAGATTAGAGTTTTAGGAGAACAAGTGTTTGTGGCCATGATAAATTGGGGTAAATGGGTATTTTCATAAATTTTGCTACGCTGTCAGCTTACGTGGAAAAAATGTCAATCCACATTAGCCGACATATAAGCATTTATGGATTCCATTTAGTCTCATTAGGCATTTTAGTTGTCCATGTCATCAAGAGACACTAAATTGACAAAAAAAAAAAAAAAAAAATGTTCCCATACGTCACAAAAGATCACCTCAAATCTGACCAAAAAAAAAAAAAAAAAAAAGGAAGATTTGAATACCTCAAATTATCAACAGATATTTTGTTTCGCAACATCAAAATAGAAAAAAAAAATTTGACAAGTTTCAGAACACAAAAATTAACATTATCCCTTTGAAAAATTAATTTTTGTGGGTGCAGATTAGAGTTGCTGGGATAGCTTTAGAAAAATTATTTTTGACATCGAAGTCCTGTTTAGAAGAATCAAGAAAAAAAAAAAAAAAAAAAAGGAAGTTTGAATACTCAATTATCACAAATTTTTGTTTCGACATCAAAATAGAAAAAAAAAAAATTTGACAAGTTCAGACACTAAAATTAACATTATCCCTTTGAAAATTAATTTTGTGGGTGCAGATTAGAGTTGCTTGGGATAGCTTTAGAAAAATTATTTTTGACATGAGTCCTGTTAGAGAATCAAGGAACTAATCTTCCTCAACCTGACAATCGGATTAGCCAACAGCACAACCCAAACAACCAAACAGATAATATAACTCAGGAATAGAAGAATGAGAGAGGAGAATATTTGATTATATTCAAAAAACTAACAGAGGTATGAAAATACATAAAGAACCCAAAAGAATAGGAAAGAACAGACTGGAAACATAATCCCCAGGCCAGGCTCGAGCAGAAGATAATCTGCTATAGTGAATTTCAAAATATTCCAAGATACCTCCCCTTGAACACCCCTTCCTTTTTTTATAGGCAAAAACATATCATATCTGTAATACATGTATCAAATCTATAACAAACTCATCATTACATATCGCATTCTGTTATAACTATTGGTGATGTGGCAATATATCAATTCTAGTCCCCTTTTACTTTCCTTCTCCTAGAATATACCATATGGTTTCTGATTTGCTGCTCTATCATTGCTATCTGCTGGAAAAATAGCCCTGTCCTCAAGACTGAAGTGAGGAAACTGCCCCACAAAGTCAGTCTTATCCACCCAATTAGCATCTTCAATTCTTTGGCCTTTCCACTAAATAAGGACTTGAGAGACATGTTGCCCTCCCTTGGATATCACTCGATGTTGGCAGATTATTTTAGGCTCAAATAATTCTCCTTCTGGGATTCCAAACTATTTGACAAATTATTCAAGACAGGGAGATCGCCAATGACTCGTTTCAACTGGGATACATAAAACACGGTGAATCTTAGACTCGAGAGTCTTAGACCCGAGAGGTAGCTTTAGTTTATATGCCACTACTCCTATGAGACCTAACACGTCAAATGGCCCATAATACCCGTCTGCCAATTTAGCACACACCCTGTTAATGACTGATTGTTGTCGGTAAGGTTTGAGTTTCAAGAAGACTTTGGTCCCAATTGCATTTTTGTACTTCCCTCCTCTTTTGATTAGCATATTTGGCCATTTGTTCTTGAGCCTTGCACAAATTGTAGCGAAGCTGCTTTAATATCTCATCCCTACTCTAGAGGTGCTCTAATAATGCTTCCACCCGTGTTTTGCCTGGAAGATATTTGTGACGAGTAGGTGGAGGGTGGCCATGAACAACTTCGAAAGGAGTACACTGGATAGCTCCCTGAAAATTCGTATTGTACAAGTATTCAACCCTTAAAAGCCATTTAGACCGGGCTTTTGGTTGCTTCAAGGAGAAACAACGAAAGAATGATTCAAGAGCGATTCAGAACTTCAGTTTACCTGTCAGTATGTGGGTGGTAAGATGAACTGAATTTTAATTGGCTTCCTTGAAGGCGAAACAGTTCTGTCCAAAAGTTACTTAGAAACAATGGGTCCTGATCACTAACAATGCTCAAGGGAATGCATGTAGCCGAACTATTTCTTTAGCAAAAACATCAGCGACCTTAACTGCTGTAAATGGATGTCGTAGTGTCATGAAATGGGCATATTTTGAAAAATGGTCAACCACGACCAAAATGCAATCCATCCTGTTAGATTTAGGGAGCCTGTAGATGAAATCCATGATTATATCCTCGCAAACCCCTTTTAGAATAGGTAAGGGTTGTAATAGGCCTGCTGGAATGGATGTTTCATACTTGTTTTTCTTTTTTACAAACAAGACAGGCAGCCGTGAATTCTTGGATGTTTTCATCATTCCCAGCCAATAAAAAATGGAAGCGATTCTTCTATACATCTAGTAGGCCCTAGAATGTCCACCCAAGGCTATAGAATGAAACTTAACCAGAATACGCTAAACCCACTGTGATTTAGCAGGTAACACCAATCGACCTTTATAGAATAGTCTGTCTTGGATAAGAGAATAATGGGGTAGACTTTGATGCTGGTTTTGTAACTCAAAGATGATTTTAGAAAGGTAAGGATCCTGATGAATCTCCTTTGTTATTACTTCCTAATCAACCCATTGAGGTGCATATATGACTAGCAACTCTGTTTCTTCATCCCTCCTATATAAGGCATCAACTGCCCTATTTAATTTGCCCGATTTATATTTGATGACAAAATCATATCCAACAATTTAGTGGCCCAATACTATTGGGCTGGTGTAGAAACCTCATGTTGCAGCAAATGTAACACACTACATTGGTCAGTTCTCACTGTGAATTTTCTTCTAATTAAGTAGGGGCACCAATGTCGGATAGCTAAAACTAGGGCGTTGAGTTCGTGCTCATAGGCTGAGTAGGTGTCAGTGGTGTTCAACTTTGCTTACTGTAATAGGTAATAAGCTTCTCGTTCTGCATTAATACAGCTCCTACTCCAGATTTAAAAGAATCAGTTTCGACGACAAATGGCAATGAAAAATCAGGCATAGCTAGAACTAGGGAAGAGATTATGGCAGGCTTTAGCTCTTCAAATGATTGTTGATCTTGAGGAGTCCAAGTAAATTTTGGTGGTGATTCCTTCCTCAAGAGGCTAATTAAAGGTGTTACTATCTTTCTATAATTTCTGATAAATTGCTTGTAATATCATGTTAGGGCGAGGAACCTGTGGAGTGCCTTGACTGAGCAGTTTATGGGCCACTGAAGAATGCTAGAGACTTTTGATGGATCCATTGATACCCCTGCTGCAGAGATGATTAGCCCAAATATTCCACTGATTTACACCCTAATTAGCACTTCTTTTTGTTGAGGTGTAAGGAGTTATTTTAAAGCAATAGAAAGACAGTCCGTAAGTGACTCAAATGTGTTTCCCAGCTTCTACTGTAAACCAGAATATCGCTCAAAGAAGACAAGGCCGAAAAATATCATTCATGACGACCTAGAATGTAGTCGGTGCATTAGTAAGCCCAAAGGGCAGTACTAAAAATTCATATCGGCCGAAATGGGTTCAAAAGGCTATTATCTGTGTATCTGCAGCTACAACCCTGATTTGGAACAACCCAGATTTGAGGTCCAGCTTTGAAAAGAATTGCGCCCCATTTAGCTCGTCCAATAGCTCTTGTATTACTGGAATAGGATACTTATAAGGAACAGTAACCTTATTAAGCTGACGATAGTCCACATAAAACCTCCAGCTGCCGCCTCTTTTTTTTTAACAAGCAAAATCGGGTTAGAAAAAGGACTGGAGCTGGTTTGAATAATTCCGGCAGCAAGCATATCCTTTACCATTCTCTCTATTTCGTCCTTCTAGAAATGCCCATAGTGATAGGGCTTAACAGAAACTAGAGATTGCCCTAGTTGTAAAGTGATACAGTGATCAGCCGATCGTCGCGGAGGTAGCCCGGAAATCTCATTAACGACATTCTAACATTTAGAGGTCAATAGCTGTAATTGTTGGTGTTGTTTGCAAGTTAAATCTGTCTCCTCAGTAGTGGAGGGTTGAGTTTTGGCCATCTCCCACAACCATGCACAAAAATCTATATCTGAAACCTTTTGAACTTAATTAAAAAACAAGGCATTTAATAAGTGAAGGATCACCAACAAGCAATATAAGTTCTCTGTTTTGATAAAATTGCATGGTGAGTTTATGTCAATTAACCTGGACATCTCCCAAGGTTTCCAACCATGCAACCCCCAAAATTACTTCCACCCCACTTAAAGGAAAAACAAAGAAGTCCCCAACAATTTCCAGAGTTTTCAATTTCAACTTGAGTTGCTAACATACTCCTGCAGACTGAAGGCGATGTTCATCTTCTAACTTGACATAGAATGGCTGGGTAGGGCTCACAGATGATTCCAGTAGAGAGGCCAAGTGATCCGAGATAAAGTTATGGCTTGGCCCAGTATCTACCATAACAACTACTTGGGTATTGAAGATGAGTCCCATCATTTGCATGGTTCTTGGATGTGAAATGCCACCAACAAAATAAAGGGGCAGCTCTAGCTCAATATTCAACTTACTAAATTTTCATCATCGTTCTCAACACCTTCTCCTTTGTCTTCTCCAGCAATTAGCGCCGGCAGGGATTTATTTGGGCATTCATGGAGAGGACTATAGGGTCGTTTGCATCGGAAACACAACCTTTCAGCTCGAAGCTCCTAGTATTCGTTATGAGAGTAGTGTCAGACCCCTAGATTTTTAGGTTGTGGGTTAGAATTTCTGGCTGTCGATGCTGTTAAGGGAAGAAGTTTAGTTTGTTGGTTAGGGTTGTTTAGGAGGGCAGCAGTCTGTTGCAGATTTAGGTGAGAGTTGGATTTATGATGAGATTGGGTTAAATTTTGGGCTTTAATAGGGAAAGAGTTGAGGAGTTTTGGGCCAAGCCCAAATTGTGGAGTAGAGGAAGGAATCGAAGAAGTATGGGTAGAAGCAGAATATGGGTAAGATTACACACTTGAGTTATGGCGAGCCTCAATAATCATAGGAACAGAATGGGTCAGCTCCCATTCTATTTCGCCAGCAGCCTTCATTGCGTGGTATAAATCAGCGATATTTGCCACCCAAAGCCAGACTCTAATTTCTCCTCTTAGTCTATTCAAGAAATACCCTAAATATTATGGGTCGGGTATATCCGGAGCTTGTGCGGCCCGAGAAATAAAATCGTCGATGTAAGGCTGACACTGTTCCAAGTTGTTTTACGGCTGCCAGTTGTTCATATGGGTTGTCAGAAAGGTTGCCATTATATCGCCGAATTAGTTCCGACGTCAACTATACCCATCCCAAATTCGAAACTTTATGTCGTAACCACATTAACCAATCCAACGACACACCCTCCATGCAAATGAGGGCCATTGAGACCTGCTTCGCTGGCGAGATGTTGTGAAGCTTGAAATACTATTCTGCCCTTGCCACCCAACTGATAGGATCAGAACCAGTGAAGGAGGGCATGTCAAGTTTTTTTGGTAGCTAACCGTGCCTCTTCCGTGGAGGGGGCTTCATTGAAATTGCCCTAATGTCGGGATGAAGATTTACTAGATTGCCCCTGGTTAGAATTTTTAGGATTTGCTGGTTCCTTGCCCTTAGCAATGGCATTGAGGTTCTAGGCATTTAAATCGTTGTTCTTATTCCAATTTAATGGCTACCATTGTTTCTTCTAGGGAAGAGTAGTTCCTCTTTGACGATATCCACTCTGGACTCCATTCGTGTTTTTGTCATCTGGCAGGTTGGACCAATTTGTTTGAGAATCAAGGAACTGATCTTCCTCAACCTGACAATCAGATTAGCCAACAACACAACCCAAACAATCAAACAGATAATACAACTCAAGAATAAAAGAATGAGAGAGGAGAATGTTTGATTATATTCAAAAAACTAACAGAGGTATGAAAATACATAAAGAACTAGGAAAGAATAAACTAGAAATCAATCCTCATGCCAAGCCCGAGTAGAAGACAATCTGCTATAGTGAATTTCAAAATATTCCAAGATACCTCCCCATGAACATCCCTTCTTTTTTTTATAGGCAAAAACATATCATATCTGTAACAAACTTATCAAATCTATAACAAACTCATCATTACATATCCAACTCAGTCATCACTGTTGCTGATGTGGCAATATATCAATTATGGTCCCCTTTACTTTCCTTCTCCTAGAATACATCGGATATGATTTCTGATTTGCTGCTCTATCAAGTCCCATGTAAAGTATGCCATGGATGTGTATTATCTTTCTGTTTAGAATATTAGATATGTACATTGATTATAGAAAATGGAAATAATCTTTCACTAAATTTTAACATGATAAGCTAAAATATTTTGAATAGGGAAAATTATCATAAATTACTTTGGAAGACATTATATTTATTAATTAAGGACTAACTTCAAAGGCATAAATCTCAGTATTTAAAAGACGATGCAAATGAAAGAAAAGTGAGAAATATGTCAACTAAATGCCAGATTTTTTTTTTCTGTTGCTCCATATTATTTATGAGTATAAGAACAAGAATACAATATTGGATCCCACAATTTAAAAAATATTTATGAAGTTTTTGAAATCTTCCTCCCCAAAATATCGGCTAAACAAGGCCAAACCAAAAATTATTCGATCAATGTCGAGCAAAGTCGAACCAAAAATTAGCCAAACAAGGCCAAGCCAAAAGTTCACCAACCAAGACCAACTGCCCAAAGAAAGCGAGTCGAAATGCCAAGCCCAAAGAAGGTTGAGCCAAAGATTGGCCAAACAACCCCGAGCTAAAAAAAATGATAAAATAAGATTGAGCCAAAATATGAACTGAAGGTCAAGCCAAAAGTTGATTGAACATGACCAAGTTAAAAAATTGGTTGAACAAAATCGAGCCAAATGTTGGCTGATGAAGACCGAGCCAAAAACGATTGAACACGACTAAGCTCAATATGACTGAGTCAAAAAAATTGGGCAAACACTAAAGGTGAGCCAAAAATGCTGAGCTCAAAGATGACTAAGACCCAAGAGGGTTGAAAAAAAGGTCGACAAAAAATGGCCTACCCTCAAAAGGGGCATGTCACGAGGTTGAAAAATGCATTTCAAGAGACAATCCTCATTTAAAATTCAAAATTATTTTCACTTCCAAAGCCATTTTTCTCTCTTAGATCCAAATAAATAAGAAACGTATATGTGTATTCACATTTTTTTAATTGAACATAAGGAAATTATTTATATCATCAATAATACATTGTAGCCTATGAGTGAGTAGAATATAAATATAAATGTCTAAGAATTGTAAGGTGATATCTGAGAGAATAATAAATAATATAAAGACTAAAATATAATTAATATTTAAAAAGACCTAAAAAAATGATTATGATACTTCCAGATATACAAGGAGAAACAAATTCTCTCAATTCACCTTTCTTTCAAAAAGTCTAACAAATTAGTTGAAGGTAACTCTATAGGTCACCCTATAAGTAATGCCTATGTAAAATTGTGGTTCTCTTAACTAATAAACCCTAAAATCACGAAGAACACAATCAATTCTTCTTCATAATTAAATTCAAATTACCTTAAATTTGAATAATATTTTTTTAGAACCATCAACTCTTAAAATAAACTATTTATATAATTTGCGGGTTTATACATTTAATGCGATAAAAAGATTATTAACAAATATTTTAAATCAATAAATCTGATCCAATCCGATTCACTTGCAGCCAGGTCTATTCTATTGATGACTAAAAAAATTCATTTCAAAATCTTTTTTCAAGCTTTAGTCAAATCCTAATAACAATCATTGGTTCATTAAAAAGAAAAAGAAAATAAAAGCACAAAAGACGGTTTGTTTTGATGCAAGAATATGAGGGTTTGGGTTGAGGTCGGTTTAAAACACGCGCGGAACAGTGAGACTGAAAGACACATGCGTCCAACCAAGTTTCCTAATAATGAAGGGCAGTAGTCATTAAAGAAAACAAAAATCAATAAATGCATGGCATTAATGAGAGCTCTGCAGTACCATCCAATTTCTTCATTCTTTCTTTTTCATCTAATCACCAACACCTTCTACCAATCTTGGCCCCTACCATCATCACACCCTTATTAATGTAAACCCCCTTTTGAATTCTCCATTTTGTCCTCATTGTTTCATCATTACTAATAATACCCCTGTTCAAAAAGATAATTTATTTTTCTTTTTTAATTTATCGTCAAATATAGACCATTTTTTCTTTTTATATTATAGTTAATTCTTAAATTTTTAAATTCTTAAATTCTTAAATCTTACATAATACTTCATCTCATTATATTTATATGATTTGATAAAATATGCATATTAAGAATTTACTCATCAAAAATTATTTTACCATTTTTACCATTAATTTATTAAAATATTAATAAAAGTCATTTATTCATGAATAATAATAAATGTTATCATGAAAACAGTAATTTTTTATATATATAAATTTAAAAACCTTGCAAATATTTTAGGACATTCAAAAAATGAATAATAAATAAATAAAATGAGATATTTTAAGACATTCAAAAAATAACAATAAATAAATAAAATGAGAGTTTTTCTGTGGGAATAAGAAAGGATGGTATTGTAATAACACAATCTTGTGAGTTTCTTGTTTCATTCAACTTCTCTTTAAAAGCTTGGCTCTCACATTTATTGCACTTCCAATAGCCCTATTCCTCTGTTTTTTCTCTGTTTCTCCTTCTCCATCTTTTCCTCTGTACTATTACAAGAAAGGCAAAAGGAAGTAAAATTAAGCTTAAGAAAACAGTCAGAAATGGCAGCAGATGTAAGTTCCATTGTAAAGAGTGGCAATTCTGAAATTCTCATCACCAGAGATTTGCTTGGAGGCTTATCTAAAGTTGGTTCTAGTAGTAAGGATTTGGATCTGGACTTAAAGGTTAGTTTTCTTTTTTGCAATTTTATTTTCCTTTTAAATTTTAGATTAGAGTAGAATTTTAAATTCAACTAATTAATTAATTTGTTATGCTTTTATCATAATATATGTTTGCTTTGTCAAAAGTAACTGAATATTCTGATTCTGCCAATGGAAATATCCTTTCTTTTTTTTTTTTGGTCAAATTTAACGGAATAACCTGTTCCTCTCTTTTTCCACCAGAAACTTTCTTTCTTGTTGTAGTCTAGGCTTAGACAATAAATTTTAAAAAAAAATATTAAATTAAATCGAATAATCAATAACAAATGCATTTAATTTAATATAATTTCTTTAAGGTTGAGAAAATAATAATTGGGATTAATTTGCATGCAGACAGGAGCATTGTATACACAAAGGTACACGTGGAACTCTCCAAACTCACCGTCATCATCTTTTAAGAAAAAAAGCCATAAACAGAAAGAACCAAATGCTGCTACTCCACCATTGAAATTCTTGGAAGAGAGTTCTTGCTTAGAGTTAAAGCTTCTTCCTTCTTCAAGCCAATCTTACTGCGAAAGTGTGTGTACTCTTGATAAGGTCAAATCTGCTCTACGAAGAGCAGAGAAAGAAGAAACTGTCAAGAAACGTTTCTCTTTCTCTCCTCCACCGTCGCAAATCGATGAACAAGAAGGCTCATCTTCTAGTAATGCAAATGGAATGTTTGCTGCTGGTTGCCCTGGTTGCTTGATGTATATTATGACATTGAAGACAAACCCTAAATGCCCTAATTGCAATTCTGCTGTTCCATTATTGCCATTGAAGAAGCCAAGGATTGACCTCAATGCTTAAATTTATTTTTCTTTTTTTGTAAAATTTTTACAATTATATATGGTTCAATGTTAATTAATTGCCAAGTTGATTTAATATTATTGTTTTGTGAATAATAAAATAATAGGCTTTTTTTTTTTTTAATTTGGGGGATAATTTTAGGATAGGGGGACCATGGTGATTGCTTTGCGTGTGCACCTAACGGAAGAAAGTGTGCATTTAGATACTTTTGAATGTATAATGATAATAGATAGCCTGCATGTGACTGATATTTCACTCGTTTTAATAATGGAGCAATGCATAAATTTTCCTCAAACGGTTACGGGTTTTTGTGTCTTTTGTGTCGTGACATTCTCAAATTTGTGTGAATTTCACATTTGAATAATAATTATATTTCTCACAAAAATAAAATATAAAGTATAGAGTCGTAATTGAACTTTTATTTCATTTTAGATTCAGACTATAAAATGTAGGATTATAATTGAATTTTATTTCATTTTAAATCTCTGAGCTTGAGGATATCACAAGCAAATCGCGTAAATTTAAGAGTAAATTGATGCATTTGTCCTTTTACTAATTATCGACTTGATATTGAAATTGTGATAATGCTTGCTTTGTTCATTTTATCAAATAATTTTATTGTGATGTACTAAAAATTCAATGGTTTGAGTGTACATGAAAAGTCATGATTTTATTTTTGATCATCAAATTTTCTAAAAATCTTTAATATAGCCAAAAATAAATATATTCTATAACCCCATCCCCATGTTTTCTTATATTGTTGCATATATAATTCATTAAATGTGGCCAGAAATTTCCTTCAAGATTTTAATTTTTCTTTTAATCATAAATTAAATTTCAAATCCACCCTCCTATTTTTTTTCTTTACTATTCATATCCCCTTCTATTTTTTTTTTTCTATTTCTATAGTCTACAAGTTAAATTTCAATGCTTTCTATATTTATATCTAATCTATGATTTCAAAATAAAAGAAAAAATAAACTAATCTATGTTCAAATGGCATTTAAGAATTCATTTGTTTTTCAAAAATAACTTATTTTTGAAAAATATTTTTTCAATCGATTTTTTTTCCGTTGTTTCATTGCAATATTAAAAATTAGTTAAAAATATTAAAATTTTTAACTCATAAGACCATAATAATAATATAAATTTCATATTTTAAAATTTTGATTGTTAAATATCTAATAACCCATCCCCATGTTTTCTTTTATATTGTTGCCATATATAATTCATTAAATGTGGGCCAAGAAATTTCCTTTCAAAGATTTTTTATTTTTTCTTTTAATCCATAAATTAAAATTTCAATCCACCCTTCCCCTTATTTTTTTTTTTCTTTACTAATTTCCAATATCCCCTATTCTATTTTTTTTTTTTTTCTAATTTCCTAATAGTACCAAGTTAAATTTCATGCTTTTTCTATATTTTATATCTATCTATGATTTCAAAAATAAAAGAAAAAATAAACTAATCTATGTTCAAATGGCATTTAAAGAATTCATTTTGTTTTTTTACAAAAAAATACTTATTTTTGAAAATATTTTTTCATCGATTTTTTTTTCCCGTTGTTTCATTGCAATATTAAAAATTAGTTAAATATTAAAATTTTTAAGCTCAAATAAGACCAATAATAATATATAAATTTCATATTTTATTTTAAAATTTTGATTGTTAAATATAAGGATAATGTAAAAAAAAGATAAATTATGAAAGTCGCCGGTGACCAGTGATGAACGGTGAATAATAGTGGTTGTGGCTACAAATAATTAATAAATTAAAAAAAATATAGATTTATAACATGATAATAAATTTATCAAAATCCGAAAAATATTTTACGCTCTTGAAAATGGAAAGTCATTTTCCTTAAAAATGACTTAATCTTCCCTTGGCCAGAAAAATATTTTACGTTAATTTATTTTCCTGAACACCCTAAACAATGAAAATTTATGAAAAATATTTTGCTGCAAGTTATTTTACAGAAACAAACGGAGCCTAATTGTTAGAAAATTTTTATTTTTGCAAAATTATATATAAAAAAGTATAAAGAAATAAGAATCTTCTTGTTAAGTTTTTCCTAGGCTCTGGGTGTGCGGGACAGACCTATTATTGATTTGGGTTAGAATGGATCTTCTTGTTGAGTTTTTTCTGGTATTTTAAAAAAATTAAAAAATTATACTTTTTATTAATTTTTTCCAAATTATGTAAAAATTGACAGTTAATTTGATATTTACAGTTACACCAGAATCAACAGAAAAAATTAAAGGAATATATTTTATCAAAAAAAATACACTAATAAAGTACAATAACATAATATAATATAATACAAATTTATTTATTTATTTTAATGACAGATAAATAAAGAAAGAATCACTGACATTTGAGTGATTATATATCATAGAAAATAATCATGTTAAACTAAAAAAATATTTTTATTACAATTTAAGTGATTTAGTTACATCTAATTACTGTGAAAAACCATAATGAAGTAAAAGTGGTAAGGGTAAAACATATAATGGAATTGCAGTAACTAGGTAAATTTATCACTATGAACATCATAAATGCACCATTATTTAGAATGAAATTTACTGTGAATAATGCAGTAAAACTGTAAAAGGCCATGGATAGACATCGCGTGAGGAGTGGCCACCACTTTTTAAGCTGATCCAAAGATGATGTCAGCACTAAATAACCAAGCTGCAATTAATAAGCCACGTCAACATCAAAACTCATTTTTTACACTTGACTTTATTAAATGTGCCAAATTCTAAAATTAATTTTAGATCATAATCAGAATAATACTCCAATTGAGAGTTTTTAAATTCTTTAATAAATAAATAATTTAATTTTTAATAATAAATATGAAGATTATTTTTATTATAATATATAATTTTTTATTATACATATACAGTAAACTTAATAATTATAATTGATTCAGATAAGTGTGGGAATGTTTTCACATTTAAAAAAAATAACAAAGTAATAATTTTTAAAATTCTCAATTGGTTATTAATTGAATATATAATGCGCTAAGTATTTTCCTTCAAAATATTATATTATAATTTTCTCAAAATCATTTTTAAAATTTTTTTTTTGTTGTTTTTATTTTTATTTCTCAAAATATTAATTTCTTAATTTTGCTTACCAGGTGTCAAATTTACGGGAAAATCGCTCCTAATGGAAATTTTCTTTATTCATAACGATCGAAGTATATTCAACCCTTAATTAATGAATTTGAGTCCTTTTCACTCATATCAATTCCGGTTAATGGTATATTCAAAATTTTTAATTTTTAAATATATTCCTATTTAATATGTTTTATATATTTTTTTACTTTTTGGTCCTAAAATATAAATTATTTAAGATTTTTGCACAAGAATTAAGAAGCAATTAATTCTTTTAGATTATAACAAAATCAATGGTATTTCGACTAAATTATCTGATCTCAAAATCAATAATTACTCGTAAAAGTATTTATTATATTTAATGTAAATAATGATAATATTTGAAAAACATCATTTATAACTCTTTAAAATACTCAAAACGAATTATATTTTGAGACAAAATAATTATTCAAGAACGACTAATATTTTAGGACAGAAAGAGTATTAAAAATGATTTTTAATATCACTATTTGGATATATTTAAAATATAAGTAAAATTGGTCATTAGATATAGTTTGATTGGTCTTCTCATTAATAGTGAGGAGTTAAAAATTTCAAATTCAAGTCCTCTCGGCAATAATAGTTTTTACTAATTTAATGAATTAAGGAATGACTATCCTTTTTTATGTAAGCTGTAATTTTATTTCGGTTTATTGGATCTTTCAATAAATAAAAAAAAACTCATAAATAAAATTAATTATTCGAAATTATATTAATTTTTTTTAATTTAATCAAAATAAAAAGTAAGTTGTTTTCAAGTGAGTATCTGTTTGAACTTTGATACTTCTCGATTTTGGATTGTTAGATATTAAAAAAAGAAAAAAAAAAAGAGAAATACAAATATAAATTGAAAATGTGGACAAGACCAAAAGGGCAATTAATGATTCTTAAACGTAAGCGCCACATATCTGTCCTTTGCAATTAATATAATATGTCGTTTAGACACACTTCTTTGGCGTTTTATTTGACTGGCTAAGAGCCAAATGTGATAAATGAGTTGATTTTTGTTTTTTGCAAGTAAAAGCGCATTAAATGAGGAGTGCGTTGTTATTTGCCTTCATTGTAGGATCACTTATTTATTTATTTTATTTATTTTTTTACTATTATCTTTATTTTATAATATTTATCACGTTTCAAAAAACAGATAAATCTAAATAGCACAATCTGCCTTATCTCAAGAGAGATTTTTTTTGAATTTTACTATTTATAATTTTTTTTTTTAGTTTTCAATTGACTAAATGTTATAATATAAAGATAATTATCCTTTATTTTAAATTTCAAATTTAAGTTATTTGTTGATCCTTGTGCAATATTTATTGCATTTAATTAGTTCCAATAACCATTAATTAAATAATTAATTACCGGCTAAATGCTCAATTAGTATTTCAATTTGCTTATAAACAGGGAGATTATAAAAGAGAAAGATGGAACACTAAAAATTAAAAATACTTTAGATAATATCATTGATTTATACTTTAAAGAATTATATAGTTTGTACCTTAAAGAATTTATATATTCTTAACTATGATTTATAATTAAAAAAAATATATGTATTAGCTATGAAACTACAAATAAAATGGAAGTACGAATTTAATAAATAAAAAAACCTTTAAGACTATTTATGTTGTGAATTTTTATTTAATTAAATTAGAGAAGTATATTTAATTCCATTATGTACATAAATATCTTAATATCAACTGTACTATTCATATATGATTTAGTTATTATTTTATTTATACAAATTAATAATTTCTCTTCAATTCATATAATATTATAATATATTTATTATATCCATGAAATATAGATTATTTTTTAATCAAAAAAATTTATTTCTTTTATTTAATCCAGTTATAATCACAAAAACTTTCTAACTAATCAAATTCGAAACATGAAAAAAATACTAACTAATTCAATTAAGTATACTAAATCAATTGAAACATTGAAAAAAAAATACTAACTAATTCAATAAGTATATTAGTGTTTAATATGGAATCTATTCTTGATTGCCTAAAAAAAAAAAAAAAAAAAAAAAAAGAATTAGTCCTGCAAATAATTTGCACTTATTTAAATTGTAATATTAAATTAATTAATTATTATATTTAATTTGATTATTCTTATTAATTTTTTAATTTTATTA